TTTTTCACATGCATGACTATAAAGAGAAATCAACTTGCAAAATAAAGGATTTTCCTGCTTTCGTGCTTTCCTATAGATTTTTTACTACTGAATTTTTACATTGCTTTGCAGTAATTCAGAGTTTTTCTTAATGCAGGTAAAGTAATTTGTCATACCAGTAGGCAACATTTTTAGGCATAACTAATCATTAGAAAAATGATTATAACAAAGTCTATTAAATTTGTTTTGAAAATATAAATGATTATAGTTACCCTTTGATACTGTACCTTACTTCACACACTACAGACCTATACTAGGTAGAAATATAGAACTGGCTCTGGTCACTGAGGTTACAAGTGTCTTAAATAATAATTTGGCATCCAAGAACATCCCCAAACCCCATGCCTAGTCCTGAAGAGGGAGTGCAATCTATCCAACAATAGAATTGGGCCAGTTGATGGATATAACTATTGTTTGACCCAATGCTGCCCATCTTCCAGGGATTCAGCCTTCCTGTATTGGATTTCATTGAGCGTGTTGCAGCCTGTACAGAGTAATGCAGCAGTTTTCCTGTCACTTCTGGTTCAAAAGGAAAAGTGTTTGTGTGTGTGTCACCTCCTTATTGATGATACTTCATTCCAGCCTCTAAACAATTTTTTCCAGTGGTTTCATATGGATATTAAATAGCATAGTAATAATATAGGGGGATAATATTGAGTCTTGTGAAACTATACAGCACAATTGCAGGGGGACCAAACAGAAGATCCCCAGCAGTTCTGTGGGGGATCTTCCCCTGGATAGGAATTCAGTCACTAAAGTATAGTGCTTCCATTTCCCAACTCATGGAACTAGCCCAATAGGTTTTAGTGAACTACGGTGTCAAAACCTGCCATGAGATCAAAATATGGGTCTCTCCCATTGTCTCTTTAAAAGGCCATGTGCCAGGCTGACCAAAATATTTGTGCTGAAACCATCTCTAAAACCAGTCTATGACAAAAAAAATCATCCAGAGTTTATTGTAGTTCAATCACCACACTCAAATTATTTTGGCCCAGAAGGTAATACTAGGAGACAAGGCTTGATAAAAACCCTAGAATCAGAGAGTTTCTTTTTAGGACAGTGGTTCTCAACCTTTTTAATGCTGTGACCCCAACCGGTCGTAAGTCGAGGACTAAACCGGTCGTAAGTCGAGGACTAAACCGGTCATAAGTCGAGGACTAAACTGGTCGTAAGTCGAGGACTACCCAACCGGTCGTAAGTCGAGGACTTTCCCTGCCCGGGAGCACCGCGCATGCGTGGTTCCGCCCCCTGTGCCAGCCGAGGCGTAGCTGGCAAGCGGCAGAGACGGAGCAGGCCGACCACCAGCTGGCCCAGCCCAAGGGAGGTAAGGCACCCGCCGGAAAAGGGGAAAAAAATGGCAGACAAAAAAAATGGCGGACAAAAAAAATGGCAGACAGCCTTGCTTGGCGACCCCCATGAAATGGTCGATCGACCCCAAATGGGGTCCCGACCCACAGGTTGAGAACCACTGTTTTAGGAGGTGCTGTATCATTTACACTTTAAACTCTATAAATTTCATTGTTTCCATTACTGGGGTATTCACCACTATCTCTATGCAGTGTGACATACATGCTTAATTAAAAATTATAAAAGGCAAGGATCAAGAAAGCAGTGCCTGCAAGGTCCCTGTCCAGTTTTTTTCAGGCCTCAAGTGGCTGGAAACTCAACTTTCAATAAATAATCATGTCGTTTCTCTACTTCTGGTTTAGCGCCCAGTTTAGTGCAGATTTGAGCAAGTTTGACTATAAAGTGCATCATAAACCTATTGCATTGCTTCTCCAAACTGGAATTCAGTTGATTTGTTTCACCAATTCTTGCCATATCTTTAACTGCCCAGAAATCTCTTCTGAGAGGTTCACTGCAGGCAAATAGTTATAAGAGCTGAAGCTTATATCTTTTAACTTGGAGAAATGGGAGGAAAAAAGCCTCTACTCTAAATCTCTAATAGATCTTAAAATGTGCACTACAACATGCAAATCCTCTTCTTTTACACAAATTCATTTTTTTGTACACAATAAAGAAGTGATCTATCTTTGTCGTGTCTGTGAACTTCTACTTAAACAAGTTTCTCAATACAGGCTTGAATATCTAGAAAATCAAGATTTATTGCTAATATGCCTAATACGTCCTATTTCCATAACTACAACATAGTATGCATTTATCTGTGCTCAATCATATTCTGATTAAATATGTGCCATCTGCACTCTGCATCCTCCATTGTTTTGTGTTCCTTAGTAAAAATGAGGCCCTATGAGGGGATATTCTGTAAATCACCTGAGCCTTCTCCTTACAGGTAGCCCTTGACTTAAATCGTAGTTGGTACTGGAATTTCCATCACTAAATGATGCAGTCAGAAAGTAAATGTCACATGACCATATTACTTAAGAGACCACACATATTACCTAGTGACCACAATTCCTACATTCCTCATTGTCTTTGTAACCCAAAGACGTGTGGGTTGTTAAGATAAGGCAGGAGTCCAAGATAGGGAGCATGGGGCTGCTGTGGGGAGGTGAGGAGTCCTGGAGGTGCCACCATATGTCACACATGACTTGGAGGAAAGGGGATACTGCAGTGCAACACAAACTAGGAAGGCCAGGAAAGGAATATGCTGCAGCTCACATGCTTCCTGGCCCATTGTGGTTCTGAAAATTCAAAAAGGCCCTGAGCTGCAGTTCAAAGCTTAACTCCAGCCCAACCCAACAAGTGCACCACAAGGGATTTCTGCAAAGGTGCTATGCACCAGGAAGCCCCAGCCCAAACTCAGGCATCATTGCCTTTGGCATCTTGCACTTAGAGGTCCCTGCTGCATTGTGCTCTGCAACTGCAGTTGACCTTTGCCACCATCTTCCTCCTGCTGGGCTGGGGATCATTTGGTGGTGGGTAAGGGTGCAGTCCTGGCACGCATGCTCTTCCAAAGCTTTGCTCCTGAAAGCATCTCCTGCAAAGCCTCCCCCCAAACAGGAACTCCCACACAGTCTTCACCTTCATCTTGGCAGTCACTGCTGGGGTTGCATCATCTGGTGATAAAGAGGGCCACTGCCCTACGATGCTCACCATATGAATCCCAGCACTGCACTTTCACTCAGGGCCTAGGTCCTGGGCCAGCAGCACCAGGAAGAAGATGGAGAAGGTCAGCAGGGATATGTGATGGAGTGCAGGGCATCCAAAAGAGAAGAGATGGGGGGAAGAAAGATGGGTAGAAGTACCCTGAGATTTTACATATTGGTGGGCCCAAATTTTGATCACCTGACCATGGGGGCACTGCAAGGGTCATAACATCAAGCACTGTAAGTTCATTTTTTTCAGCCCTGTCATAAGTTTGAATGGTCGTTGAAAGTATGTCAAGGACTATCTGTTGCATAGTAAGGTTAAGGCTTCAGCAGGAACTCCAGTTATACCTGTTGAAAAAAGTTTTATAAAGGAAATCATGTTTTTATTCTATAGGGCATTTTTTTCTTTCCTTGTGATCATCTCCTCCAAATATATTTAATTTCACTCTGATATTGTCAAACATCACACTTTATCAGTGTCATCTCCTATTCCTAATATTAAAGATATAATCACATATCTTACATGCTGATAACAGTCTTCCTTCACAAATGATTGCTTGATAAATAAACTAGTTTATTTCCAGATAGGTCTTTCCATTATTTCCAGACCCTATGTTCATAGCAGTCTGCCAATAGGGATGAGTAGAAATAACAAAATATATTTTTCTTTACACAGATTTCCTTGTTTGCTCTCTTTGGACTCATTACTTGGATCTAGTATTACATTGTTGTTTATCTGGGGTCCTTAAACATACCTTAAGTTATGGAATAAAATTGTTATTCTTTCTTTGATTTGAAAGAACATGGTATCAAATGTTATAGTTAAGTATTTTTTCTATTTATGCATTTTCTTATTTGCAGTAACTTATAGTGTGATCAGTTATAATAGATGGCTTGTTCAATAGAAGAATTTGCCTGTTTTAACCAGAAATGATCCAAATTATTCAGTTGATATGCAGGTCAACTTCATACACTTAGGTTGATGCATCATCATTTTAGCAAAAAAGATATATGCATTGTGAAGGAGACAATTTAAAAAAAAATCTTAAAATTTGGAATTATTTTAAGCATTCCACTTTTCAGAACTAGAAGTCCTGCTTCATAATTTTTATTCTGTAATCCCTTTAAATCTTTTGAGATAGTCTTCAATCCTGATGTCTGTGAATGAACACAAATATACAGTTGTTTTCAGGAGTTGCCATTAAATTAACTGATAATCCAGTAAACCTAGATACATATATGACCACATATAGAAAGATGCATATGCTCAAGGTCACTTAAGAAGGGCTCCTTTTTTCTCTTAAATGTTACTAAATTATTAACACTTGTTTGTACAACTAAATGAATTGGAACATGAACAAAATGTATTGTACTTCATCATGTTTACTGTAAAATGATGCTTTTCCTTCCTGAAAATTCTAGGGTATATCTGATATTATCAGTCAATATATCCCAAGTTCATCATTGAGTATATATGTTAAAGAGTTAGTAAGGCTATCTCAGAAATGTAACCAGATTTAGATTTGTTTACATTCCATAATTTTGAAACTGGTCTGCCTTGCTGGCTTCAGCAGAATGCTTCCTTTTGCTCTGCCCCACCCTACTATGCACAGATCTACTGCTTGCTTTTTACTGACATTGCATTTCCAGTTTGACGCAGGTGTTTGTTTCATCTGCATTTGCTTGTGGTGCTCCTTTTTGGAGATTTCTTGGGGAAGCTGCTGGGAATAGCGGCTTATTTGGGCAGAGAGGGGCATCTGTCACAATTTGTATAATATTTACATGGAAAATGTCTTTCTCAAAGGCTTTCGGTGCCCCATGTTTTACAGTACATGAACAGTTGGCTAGTCCAGGTGTTTCCTCTACTCTTTGCGTGATATGTGACTTGGAAATTCAAGAGAAGAGTTGGCAGAATGGAAGAGCTGAGGGTTTGTATTTACCTATTCTAACTGCTTAGGAGATAGAAGGGTTTGGGGCACAACAAACAGCTTCCTCTTCCCCTTCCTGGAAAATATATTTTTGAACTGGGGTGTTAAATCAATAGATTTTAATGACTGCAATAAAGCATTGATCAGTTTTTGTTTTTAGCCAAAAGCCTGAAAATACTACCTTACCATCATGTAGGTTTAAACACCACTATATATATATATCTATTAGACGTTACAATTGTAGTGCACCTAAATTTCAAATTTTAAAGCTAAATGGTTATTAAAATTATATTTAAAGATAAAAAATAATGGTAACTTTTTGTTTTATTCACTCCTAAATGTGTTTGGTATTTTATTACTGTTATTTTTTATCATTACTATTACATTACAGTTAGCTTTCCTAAAATAGATCAGATCCCTAACATGCTTTGTGTCTTTTTACAGGACAGTCGGCCCAATATGTCAAGACCTCTGATCACTAGGTCCCCTGCATCTCCTTTGAACAATCAAGGCATCCCCACACCAGCACAACTCACAAAATCCAATGCACCGGTTCATATTGATGTGGGTGGGCACATGTACACCAGCAGCTTGGCCACACTAACTAAATATCCTGAATCAAGGTAATTCTGAGGACTATGTTGCATTTTTCCAGAAGATATGTTAACTTGTTCCCTTTTTTCTTTCAACTTTTGTGCTAAATCTTTATTTGGAATTAAATCTTTTCACTTGAAAGTGCACCCCAAGTTTCTGGGTGCCTTAAACTGGTTGTTGGAAAACATTTTACTAAAGGAAACCCAACAGTGTTTCTTTGCTTAAGAGCCACTTAATTTGCATCATCTGTCTGCATTACATCACTGCATGTTATATCTTATATTACTTTTTCAATATGTCTCCTGATAACTTGTGTCATTTCTGTGCCATTATGTTTTGATGGGAGGCTGCTTAATATTTATCATAACTAATGATGCAAATGTTAAAAAATCAAAATAGTATTTTAGGGTGCACTAACAAGAGCATAGAGTCCAAACCATAGGAAGTCATTTTCCCATGTAACTCTGTCTTATGCAGAGGACAGTGCAAAAAATATAGTGACTAAGTAAAGCAAGTTCAGCAGAGGCCTTCCAAGATTAAGGATCGGGCAACCAAGTGCTATGAGAACAGTTGAGGGCTTTAGGCATGATTAGCCTATTGAAAAGAACTGAGGGAAAATGTGATAAATTCAGATATCTTAAGGAACATGTGTATACAGAAGAGGGAGTGGACATACTTTCCATTGCTCAAAGGACAGTGCCAAGACCAGTGGATTAAAATTATAAGGAAGCAAGTTCAGCTAGGTATTGGGAGGACCTTTGTAACTGTACAAGCTATCAGCCAGTGGAACAGACTACCATATGATACAGTAAGTTCTCTTTTATAGTAAGTCTTCAGACAAAGGCTGGATGCTCATCTGTTACAGATATAGTGGATCCTTCATTGAGTAATGGGTTGGACTAAATGACCTCGTTTTGAATGCTATAATTTTATTATTCTACTTTACGATAAAGTGCCTTTTGCACTGTTGTTCTTTTCATATGGATGTCTGGATTTTTCAGACAACAGATGTATTAATCAAGGGCCTGCCCTAAAACATCCTCTTGCTGTCTAAATCAAAGCTATCCAGTCAGTTATAACAAGAAAGAGATGCTGCTTGAAGCTTTTTTATTCCAGAACTCTTTAGACTAAGTTGCCTCAAAATAATTACGGTAGTTGCTAGACTTTTCTGTGTGGCTCCACAAAACTAATAAAAGCAGCAAGTTTGTAATACCAGCAGCACACAGTTTTTAAACCATTCAGGCAAAAGGAAAAAAAACATCAAAAAGGAAGAGGAACAGTTCTCTTATTCTAGCTAACAGCACAAACTATTATAGTCTCCGGTAATCAAAAGATAAGAATTAAAAAGAGATTATTAATTAAATACTGCTTATTTCATCAGATTCTCAAATAGCTCACAAATTGATGGCTAAGTGAAACCATGACTACTTACTTACAAACTTACTTCAGCTTTCCTTTACTTTACAGACCTGCAAAGGTCATAAATGCAAGGATTGGTTGTAAAGTTCATCACTTTCATAACTGTAAGCTGTCACTAAATGAGGCAGTCAGTAAAGGAGAATTGCCGGTAATATTACTTCTGCTCAAAATCAACTGTGCCTGTTGTGACTGACTATTCTTGTTACATATTTCTGTTGTTTTAATTCGGAGGGTAGCTAATTTACAAGTGTTTATTTAGCTTTGATAGATAAAAGCAAATTGTGAAGTAACCAAATATATTAATATGTTCCCTTGCATCGGTTTTCTTTTCTGCAGAAATATTGCATTTTTTTTTATTTTCAGAAAACATTATTAAAATCTGTTGATGACAGATTGGGTGAAGGATTGTAGATTTCTAGCATTTGGATTTAGAATGCACTATTTCCACTTCTTTTATAAAATGTGAAAATTGTAGAATTTGTAGGGAGAGCATAATATAATGGAGAAACAAAAAATAGTAAAAGTCCCTGAAATACTTGACATAATAAAGCAACAGCAGAGTGGAGTATTCTGTTTAAAAAACTCAAATTTTGTCCAGCTGGAGTATATTGTTTCTCTTGGGTGATCCAGTCTAACAAAAATTCATAATACATACTATGTATTATATAACTACATAACATCATATATAATACTTATATAATAATACATCTAAGTATACAGCGACTTAATTCTTTTCTAACTAATAAATATGCATAAATGTTAAGGTATGTGTAATGATTTGGCTCACTAAGAGAACCCTATTGGCTATTTTGCTATGTTAGTTTTCTATTTCTTCTATCCTATTGCGACCAAAATCTTGGAAGGTTTTTCACAATATAAGTTGTTTTCATTTTGTCTTACCTTCACAGTCCAGTCGGGTACATCAAATATGCCTTCTAGCAGTTAGCATACATTTTAATTGCTAGCATTAGTTGCATTATTCAGTTTAACATGCCTTCATTTTATAAAAAACTATATAATGTGATTTTGTTTTAAATTTCTTGTTTGATCTTTGAAATGTCTATATTTGTCTTGTTAAATATAATATCATTATTAGAATTGGGAATAAAAGTGTTACACTGTTTCCACAAATTGGTCTCTGCCCTTTTCAGAGAAATTTAACATTTTAGCTCTATATTCTTTGGCATTAAATTTTTATAAAAGTCATCTTAGCTATGACTGATAGAGAAGAGCTATGTTAAAATAGGTAAGGAGTTATATTATACAGGTAGTCCTCACTTAATAATTGCAATTGTTGGGACCAGCAACTCTATTGCTAAAATGATCATTAAGTGAACCATTACATGACTGTGGCAGACTTATGACATCAGTTCTATTGCAGTTAAGTGAATTACCTTAAACCAGTGGCTCCCAACCTTTTCTATATCCCTCACCCCTAGAACGCTTCTGATATATTCTCGCACCCTTACAAAAGTTTGAAATAATGGCAATGAATTATGCATATACACTATAATTTTGAAAACCCAAGTTTTCGCACCCCATGGAATATCATCTCGCAACCCTGGTTGGAACCCCTGCCTTACACTATATAGCATGGTGACCATGACTTATTGCTTGGCGGAAGCCAGCTATGAAGCACACAAATACCAATCTCGTGAGAACAAGGTTGCTACAATCATCATAAGTTTTAGGACTGATTGTAAAACTGCTTTTTCAGAACCATCAAAGTTTGAATGGTTGCTAAAATAGGCAGTCATTGACTAAGAACTAGTTATAACGCCTCTTTAGAAACTAATGACTGGAGCAATTACTGACTCAAATAGCAAGTTCTGCTTTGCTGATGGGAATTGCAGTGACTGAATATTTTCAGATATTAATGACATATAAAAGTTCTGAATGGTAACTGACATATGCTCTTATTTCTGAATACAGGCATATTGAGTTCTGTCCTGGCTACATATTGTGTTAGCTTTTATATTCCTAAACCTAGTATCCTGTGTTATCACTTTTCTATCCTATTCCTGCCTCAAATATTATTTTACCTTACTTTCACAATATATTATTTATTCATTCATTGTATTTCTTTGTCTTTTCTCTAGAAAAGCTCAGAACAATTTATATAATACTTTTATCTCCAGTTTTGTCCCCACAATTATTCTACCTCAGATGCTAATACAGCTTTTTTATTTAAAACTGAAGTAAAGGCAACTCTGGCTTCTTCATGACTCCTCATTCATTATTCTCCTCTCCCCTTCCTTTGCCATTGTTTGTGAGGAAGTCATCACATGTGCCTTTTATCATATTTCAGAGTTTCAATCCTAATATTTTAAAAGATATAAATAAAAGAATTGTGATATTTTTTCTCCCTACCTGCTTCTTTTAAAATGGAGTTTCTATAAAAGATATGACCTCTATAGATACGTTGAATAGCAGATATTTATACTGCTACTGTCAATAGGCAGAATACATACTACATACAGGTTTTGGCCATAATTGTTTAGTATTTTGAAGCATAATAATTAAATATTTCATTCTGAGAAATATTTCTAAACTGCATGCAGTACATTTCCAAATGAAAAATCTTATGCAGGTATTTCCTAAATTGCTATATAGTTGCTAAGTAATTTAATGTACAATGTGTATATAATTGTAGTACTAAACAGACTTGGTAGCTTTGCAGCCAACACCCCTGGCCACCCACAGGCATGTTTGAAGCTTCAGGATATAGCTGCCAAGTTCCAGAAGATTTCTGGCTGGCTCTGGTCCACCTTTTTGTTGGCTTTGTGTTTGGAAATGTTTATTCTTTGAGGGATTTGTTTACAAGTGCTTAGTTAAAGTGGACTGTGAAAAGATGAAGATCTTTTGGGTTGGATGCCATTTTCTTCAAACTGATGTTTTAACAATCAAAACTTTATCTAATCATATGTAGCACTGATGACTACATATCAATCACCTCCTCTTTTTAGTTTTTCTATTGTTGTTGCCACTTTTTGCAGGGCCCACATGGTTTTTATATGACTGCTGCTGCAGGCTGATATATGTGCCCAGGACAGCACATTTCTCTATGAGTGCATTTTTGAGAGCATCATCTAATATAAATTTTAATCTGTTATTTTAAAGTAATTAAGCCTGTCTTTAAAAAAAAAGTACTCAAGGTGATCAAAATTTTAATTGCCACTGCAAGTTTTTCCTACTAATGAATATAACTTTTAGCATAAATAAATAACTCCTTGGGTTCTTAGCAGTGGCCATACTAGTTTGGATGTGAGAGTTGGTCCATATAGCATCAGGTTTGGAAAAACTCTGTATTTAGTTTAAAATAAAATAGAAGCTAGGGAGATGATGTCTGTAGATCTTGGTACGCTTTTCAACTGATAGTTTTAAAAAGAGAAAAACTGTCATACATTGGGATAAATCAGACTGAATATCTTGATGCCATTTAAATTCTAGTTGGACAATTCAAATCCCTTTTGATAAAATGCTTTCCTTCAACCAAAGGGGAGAAAATATATGCAAAAGGCGCTGATCAAGGAACACAGTGTTTGTCCCCCCCAAACTCTTACAGAATATATTGAAAATCTGTAAGGCGGCTATGCAACAAAAAAAGTTA